AGGCCGATCTTTGATCGGGCGAGCGGGGGTGCTCACGAAGTGACCTTCCCCAATCGTACCCAAGTTCCTGAGCCGAGGCAACTTTGGTGATGACGGACACGTGGCCTTAGGCACGAGTCAGGGTTTCCTAAATTCTCCCAAAATAAAATATTTAGGTGGCGACTCTGTATCTGGCAAAGCAGTCCATGTTTGGCACTTCTTTCTAAAAATCAGTTTTTCAAAACGACTTGCCGGATTTGGACTCTTTGATGATTCATCGGTCTTGCATTGCACTCTGTGAGATTAGATACAGGACTGTGACATTGAGTCCGAACTGTAGTAAGCCCAATGAACAAAACAGGATTCTTCCCGGAACGTTCGGGGACGTCTACAGTATTGTTTACCCTTTTCAATCTTCCTGTTAGGGCCATTGACGAATTCAGGAGAACCACCTACAGATGGGTCTATTGTTCCCCCTGGTAGACGCCTGGTTGTTCCTTTGAACATTTGTGTTTTGCACGGCTTGTCCTTTGTGAAGGCCCATTTGCTGTCGACAGAAATTCCTACACACGTCGGTGAAAATCCTCCTAAGTTGGTTAATGTGGAGAATGGTTCTTCTGAAGTTATGGTTTTTGATTCTTCTGAAAGTAAGACTGATAGATTAGTGAAGACTAATCCTTAAATAGGAAGTTGGGGGCTACGTTTTCTTGAACTCGAGTTGTCTAATCCAACTGATGTTGTGTTTGAGATTAATGTTTCTGTCAAGCCAGAGAAATCTAGAAATGAGGATAATTCTAGTGTTGACTACGATGTAGCTGAGTTTATCGATAGGGATAACACTGCAAGGGTACTAATACCTCTAGAGCATTTTAAATTACCTGTTCTGGATAGTTCGTTCTTTGTGAAACGTACCCAGAGTGGGACCCCTAGTAGAAGTTCAAGTTTCTCAGAGAAGAATGCTAAGGATGAACTGAATGCTTCGATCAAGAACTTGATTTCCAAAATTAAGGTGAGGTGGCAATCTGGACAGAACAGCTCTGGAGAATTAAACATTAAGGACACCATACAGGCTGCCCTTCAGACATCCGTCATGGATGTCCTGCTACCGGATCCATTGACGTTTGGCTTTAAGCTTGCTGAAAATAGTACAGGACGTGCCAAACTCAGTTCACCTAAAGAATCCATTAATCAAGTTCAATCCCCTTTGTCTAAGGTTTCTGTACTTGCGCATGACATGACTTCCATGGAAGTTTTGGTCCGAAATAACACTAAGGAAATGATAAGGATGAGTCTTAGCATTACGTACCAAGATGTAGGCGGGGAGAACTGCATTGAGGGCAAGAAGGCAACTGTTCTTTAGTCAGGTAAGATTCTAGCATGTTGTCTTTGTTCAACTATCTTTCAGTAGATAACAACCTTTTAACTCAATTAGTTAGAAAATACTCTTTTTTAATTTTTAGGAAAATAAGGGAATATCAGAAAATAATTATTGCTAACTTTCAAACCAAGGAAATAATCTCTTATTTTTAGGAGGAAAATAAGGATTATATTAGAAAATATTAGGAATTGGTTATAGATTTAGGAATTAGAAATTAGTGTATATTAGGAATTAGGAATTAGTGTAAATATTAGGAATTGGTTATAGATTTAGGAATTATATTGTATATTAGGAATTAGTGTAAAAATTAGTGTAAATATTACTTCTCATAATTGGTTATATTAGGAATTAGTGTAAATAGGAATCTTTGTATTTCCTTTTTTGCTAATTCCTAATATAACCAATTATGCCATATATACAAAAATTCCTATTTACACTAATTCCTAATATAACCATTATGCTATATATACAGTGTATTGGTTATATTATGCTATATTTACACTAATTCCTAATATAGCATTTTGTGCCTCTACAAAACTTCTGCAGGTGCGTTTTTCACGCTCGAGCAGATTTCCTTACGCTCAAGCGGGTCGCGCTCGAGCGGGCCTCTTGGCGCTCGAGCAGGTGTGCAATGTCTGTAAAAGTACTGGACGAGTGTAATCTACGCTCGAACAGGTTTCCCTTTGCGCTCGAGCGGGTATGTTTTGCAGTTGTGTCTTGACGCTCGAGCGGGTATTCTTGCACTCAAGTGGGTCCAAATTTTATGTTTGACGCTCGAGCGTCCTATTCTCCGCTCGAGCGGGTCATACGTATATCAGATCGTAGCTAAGTCATTTTAAATCACTTTTCAACATCCTTTCTCTCTCTTACTTTTTGAAAACCTCCATTGGAGAGCTTCTCTCTCTAAAAACCCAACTTCTCTCTAAGTATTGATCTAGTTAGAGTGATCTCCCACCTTAGTCCCTTTGTAAAAAGGGTGGAGCTTGTTGTGGGCTATCTTTTGATCCGAAAAGTTCTTGATTTGGAGCACTTCGAGATTTCTACATCTTCTTTCTTTGAGCTCCGAATTTGAAGTAGGGATAACTACTCATTTCTATAGTCTTTGACATAAATTATTGGTCATTTTGATGTAATGTTGAGTTGGGTGATTTTGGGGTTAGGGTTTCAAAATGTATAAAAAAGGGGTTTTGTATTTTGAGCCTATATATGTGTATTTGGGTCTAGAAATGAGTTTATTGGTGGTGTTGATAACATTTGAACCTTTGGGTCAATATTGAGCTTAAAGGAAAAAATGACATGCTTGGGTATATTTGGGTCATTAGTGTAATTAAGGACATTTGTTATGGAATTATGAAATTGAGTTAGGAATAATGAAATTGGCTCATTATAAGATAGGATGGTGGAGTTGGATTTATTAATCGCTCACTTTTGAAAATGTCAATTATATATCTGTTGAAGCATTTATTATCTGTTTAGAAATAACTGCTTTAGGCTATCGATGGAGGATAGTCTTGATTGTTGTAGACATTGCATGATGATTAGGTGAATTAAAACTAATCAAGTTGCGTATTTGAATACATGGGTGCCAAATCCCGCGGATGAAATTTTCGTAAAATGGCCATTTGAATATAATTACACATGGGTGCCGAATCCCGCGCACGCAATATCCGTAAAATGGCAATTCGAATATAATTATACATGGGTGCCGAATCCCGCGGACGCAATTTTTGTAAAATGGCAATCCGAAAATATCTATACATGGGTGCCGAATCCCGCGGATGAAATATTCGTAAAATGGCCATAAGAGAATAAAAACACATGGGTGCCGAATCCCGCGGACGCAATTTCCGTAAAATGGCAATTTGAAGTATTGTTGGCATGAGATATAGTCTCACTTAAGTTGTTTGGCCAGGTTCTGAACCATGTTTATCAGTTGAGTTTTGTTAAGTGAAGGATTATGGAACTGGTTGTACTGTATGTTGGTTTATATGAGTTAAACATTTATTAAATGCTAATGTTTTAGTTATTGCTCATATTATGTTTAGCATATCTCTACTAGGCGTTAGCTCACCCTATATGGGACATCATTTTCAAGTACAGGTGTTATGCCACCTCCAAGGACGTAGCTTGGGAGGCTTGAGGCTGTAGACTCTTTTTGTTGTTTTTGATGTATTACATGTAGATCAAGCCAAGGGCTTATTTGTGTAGAGTTAGTACTCTCCTTTTTGTAACCAAGTGTTGACTTGGAAAGTTGTAAGCCTATAGGGCGTTTACTTTTATTGTCAACATGTTATACCTTTTGTAAGAATACTCTGATGATTGTAATATGAAAACTCTTCTATTTATCGTGAATGTATGCTATGATAGGGTTTTTTTTTGGGGCGTTACAGGTATGTTTCCATCACATTTGAATCCTACTAGCATTTTGCTTCATTATCTGTTTACTAATTGAACCGCTAACCTTTAATTCCAAGTACATTAGCTTTTTTCTTATTTAATATAGTTGAGAAGTATAACAAAGAAAAAACAGAAAAGACATGACATGACATTGCAGAGACACAACGACAAATAAATATATAATTTTTTATGTCTACATGAAAATGATAATTGTTTCTAAATTTTTTTTACATTACAAATACTTTTACAATTTATTATATCAAAATAGTAGGAAATCAATAATATCTATTTTCGAAAGATCTATTCATAAACAAATTGAAAGTTTCCAGACTTTTAGGATTCCTAAAATTAGAAAGTCTAGAGGAGGAGAAAACAAAATATAAATCCACGTTCTTTTTATTTTATCAATGGATCCCAAATTATTTTCTTTAAACTTGCAATGTGGTTCATGTGTGTTTAAGCAGCTACCATCATTCATATTTGATTGAACTATTGGCAAATTTTGATATTGCAGGTTACTTTGGTGAAAATGGTGAATGAAGCCACAGCAAACATTCCTAACTGAGAATCTTAAAGGATAGACATCAAGTAAAAGCTGGCTATAGACAGAGTCTTGTGTTCAGAGGATGGTGAATTTATACTTCTCTGGACACACTGTGCTTGAAAATATTTACTGTGAAATTTTGTTTAATATGTGCTTTTGGATTCGCATAGGAAGCATGAAACTTGCTCAATGAGCTCTATTTTTTTTGTTTTTTTTTTTACCTACACACAATTGTAGTATATAATGTTCTGTAACCCACCCTTTTCAAATAACTGACTGTTGATTTCCTTATATCATAAAAATCTCCCTTGTTTTCATCAAAAGCATATCAGTTCGTGTTTCTTTGACTGTCTATTCAAGCTTTGTATTCATTTGTTTCGTCAGTGGCTTTTATTTCTCACTAGCTGAGATTCACTGTGAATCAGATACCAAAAAATCATTTTACCATCAAAATTCAGAATCTGGATTTATTTATTGTATTTTATTTTTTTGGGTGGGACTAATGACTACATATAAGCCAATGTATTTTAGATAGAAGAACTGTTATGTTAAATCAAACATCTCAACTAAGCAATAGATGTAAGTGATCAAAAAACTGATCATAAAATGTAAAATACAAGGATTACAACATAGCCATAAAGCTAGTTTTAATAAAAATTCAAGCTAAACTCAATTAGTCCATTTTGGTGGGGGAAAGAATACCAGTAGCATGACCTCTTGATGGTGGCAAAATATTTTGTAGTCGTTTGATCATCACGTCAAGCATCCTTAACTTTTCTGTGTCTCCAGCCTGCAGCAGAAACCTCTCCAACATTCGAAACACCGCCTCGCTCACATGCCTTCCTCTCTCCAACATTTGTTTGGAGCACTCAAAAGCTTCTTGCACCTTCCCATGCGAGCACAATGATGTTGCCAATATATCCAATGCATGGCCATGGGGGCAGTGACCTCTCTCTAATAGGTAGCCCCACAAATTCAACCCCAAATCAGGCTGACGATTTGCACAAAAGAATTTCATCAACATCACCACTGTTCGCGTCTTTGGAACAAAGTTTTTCTTTGTCATCTTGTCAAAGAGTTCAGAAACAGAGTCCAAATTTTTTGACTTCATTAAGCCAAAGAACATAGTATGGTATGTGATATTGTCATGCCCAATGCCTTTCTCTTCCATCTCATCCATTAAGCCAGTTGCAGACTCCATGTCCCTGCATCTTACAAGAGAACTCAATAAAGCATTATAAGCACCAGTATCAGCCCTAAAGTTTCTCATGGGAATCTCTTCGAACAACTCTCTTGCTTTAGCTATGTTTTGAGCAACCCCTGCGCCATGGATCAATGTTGTTATTGTTTCTATTGTAGGCAAACAATTTACGCCTTGCATTTCTGTAAGAAGTCTCAAACCATCACCGAAACATCCTTTCTTGCAGTAAGCATCAATTCTAATATTGTAAGTCACATTATTCGGCTTAAAGCCTCTTCGAACCATCTCATGGTAGAACAGTTCTACCGCAGTAACATCACCTGATTCCTTGAAACCCAACAGCAAAATATTCATGGTCTTGGTGTTGGGAGAAAATCGAGGATGCATCCTGTTGAACACAGACCTTGCCTCCTTCATCTGCCTTTGCGTACAAAATGCTCTAAGTAGTACATTGAACTCATCGGTGCCAAATTTCCTCCCTACAAATATATTTTTCTCCATCCTCTTGAATGCTTCAAGGGTATCTTCGAAGGTTTGGAACTTAGCGATTCTCGATAACATGATGCCCATGGATTTTAGGGTTAACAAGGAAGGGTGTGTTCGTTGGATTTCTTCCATCAATTCCCAAGCTTTATCAAAGTAGCGCATTCGTGCAAGGATATGGAGTGTCTTCTCAAAAGCATCTGAACTTGGGCGGAAGTGGGAGTATTGAAGGGAGAATTTGAAGAATTCAAAGGCTTTAAGGCCATTGGAATGTGCTGCAAAGAGGCGACCAAGCACATTTTTCACAAGCGGAGGTGAAAGCACCGATTGCGGGATATGTTGCAGAAGAGTAGGGTGAAGTGGGTGATCAAGAAAAGGATGATCATTAACAACTTTGATGATTCTCTCTATTTCAATTTCTTTTTCTACAGAAGAGTGAGGCTGGCAGGTTGATTCAAAAGCAAGGGTACGAAATAATGCTAGCTTTTGAGGAACAAATTTACTGTATCTATTCAGTTTGACCAACTGAAGCATGACCTCTTTCTTCAAAACAAGACACAACACTCAACTTCCATCTATGGATGCAAAGCTTTACTGATCTCCATACCCTGCTTATCAAACAGATACATTGGTTAGAATTGACAGGAACATGTTGCCTGAAGCAGATATGGTATCCAACTAGAAAGTATAATAGTTAACCATCACCCAGAAAATATAAATAACAAAAACACAAAATAGAAACACAGAATGAATCACAGGAAGTGCATTGACAGGATGAAATTTATTTTAAATATGAACCCGGTGAAGTGGGTTTAATCCCAACCATCCATTATATTTTCTATGAATCATTCTGTGTTCCTAACACTGCCGTAAAAAAATAATAAATAAATAAATAAGAAGAAAGAAGAAAGAAAGAATTTCGAGAAGAATTAGTATAAGACAATAATATGCAAAAGAATTATATCTGTTCCATGAAATGTAAACACAGATATATATATATATATATATATAAATAATTTCGTTTGAGAATATCACTGCCGTAAAAAAATAATAAATAAATAAATAAGAAGAAAGAAGAAAGAAAGAATTTCGAGAAGAATTAGTATAAGACAATAATATGCAAAAGAATTATATCTGTTCCATGAAATGTAAACACAGATATATATATATATATATATAAATAATTTCGTTTGAGAATATTATCACAAACATTTTCACAAACACTTTCAATGCATTACAAATGCTATCATAAATACAACTAAACAGACAAATAACACCCAATGCAATTACAACAAACAAACAAAAAACAAGTGATAATTTTGAAACTAAAAACGAAATCTCAAATCAAATTATGAAAAATCCCAAATCGTAAAAATTTTAAACCCAAAAGTTTGCAATCAAATTAAGCTTTAAGAAATCGTCGAAATAGCTTACGCCTTCCCGTCTTCTTGTGTATTTTCCGTTTGTCGGCCTTTTCCTGATCGACTGAACTTTAGTTTATATTGTCAGACACGGAGGTCGGAGAGAGACAGGGGGGTTGGAGAGCGGCCGATGTGCGGGATAGTGAAGTGAGGAACCGTGCTTAAAATTAGGAAAATGTTTGGTAGCTCAAATTTTTGTGACTCAAATAGCTCAAATCTGTTAAAACGACGTCGTTTTATACTCAAAATCTGTCAAAACGACATCGTTTTGACAAATTTGAGCCATTTGAGCCACAAAAATTTGAGCTACCTAGTATTGTCGTTAAAATTATTACAAATTAATTAAGAAAATACGTGAATAAAATATAATTATGTATATATATATTTTTTTAAATTTATCTAAATTTATAAACCAAACACAACATAAAATGTTGATATTAATTGGAAAAAATTCTATTCGTAAGAAAAATTTAAACAAAAAAAATGATGTGACAAGCAAGATTATTCAAATCGAGATTTTAAGTGAGATCGTTGGAAGAAACTCATGAATTTAATCGTAAAACTAGATAAAAAAAATCATAAAAAGAACACTGGATCCACAAATTTAATTTTAGATTTTTTTTTAATTGGAAAAAATTCTATTCGTAAGAAAAATTTAAACAAAAAAAATGATGTGACAAGCAAGATTATTCAAATCGAGATTTTAAATGAGATCGTTGGAAGGAACTCATGAATTTAATCGTAAAACTAGATTAAAAAAAATCATAAAAAGAACACTGGATCCACAAATTTAATTTTAGATTTTTTTTCGAAATGTTCACATTCTAAAATATTGTCTACAAAGACAAGTTTTTACAAAATAATCAAACTACTTACGTATATATATTGTTTACCAAATTCTAACCGAACCAAAACATTTTTCTGTCTCTTCTCTTTAATCGTCTTCTCTGTACTCACTCTCTCTAGTGCTCTCTCTCCACTGCTGGCTATGGGCACAAGCGGCACAAGCCGTCACTTTGTGTTCCGAAAATTGATGGAAAAAGGTCCTAAAAAAATTGATAAAATATCAAATAATAAGTCTTATTTTTTTTGTTATCATACTTGCTCAGAAGGGTCCGAAAAAACAAAAAAATTATTTGTATGGTGAATTATTTAAAATTAATTGATGGTTATTTTTCAAATATATGAATTATATATAGAATATTATTAATTATAGTTATTACTTACAATTGTTTATGGAAAAAAGAAACGTTTCAAATTTCAAATTGATTAAATCATACAATCAGTGAAGTTGTCCCAAAAAAGATTGAATGAGTTTGATTGATAACTTGGTTAAAACAAACTTGATTAGTAATTTTACAGTTAAAAATGCAAAAGTTCAAAAAATTTAAATAAAATTTGAATTACCAACTAGTTCAGTTATGGCAAAAAATGATTCAAATATCGGTTCATAGTAGAGTTCTACTTTGAGACATCTATACTATATATATAATCAAATGTAGTGATTTTGTCAAAAATCTGTAAATATTCATTCCTAAATTCTCATAATTTTAAAATTATCTCTTTCCTACGTGGCAACCCTTTTTTATTGTCTTTCGTGTTTTCTATTTTTCTCCATTTTCTATTTGTTTGATTAATTAAAATGAAGATTAATTTCATGGCTTAGGGATAAAGATTTGAATTTCAAAATTCCTCCATATAGATAAACATATAAAAACTGATAAATAATTTATGAAAATTAATTTCATGGTATACAGATAAAGATAAAAATTAAATACTTAATTTCATAACTTATAGATAATTTAAAATTTCTTCCCATAAATAAGCATATAAAAATTGATAAATAATTTATAAAAATTAATTCCATGGTCTACAGATAAAGATAAAGATTAACTAATTGATTTACAAAAAAAAATTAAAATAATAAAATTCGGATAAATATATGATTTGTTAATCTATATCTATCAAAAACATATCTATCTAAATCTTTATTTTGGTTTACTTATATTTTTTTTCTCCTTTTATCACATATTATCTTTTTTTATTTTGAATTTTTTATCTTGTGAAATACTCCTATCTATAACTTCTTATCTCCTCTTAACCTAATCCTCATAATTTTTATTATTTGTTATTATCTACCAAGTGATAAAGATATATATAAAAAAAGAATGGTTGGCTATGAATAAGAAGAGTATTAATAATTAAATAATGAAAGCTGTATGGGAGAAGGCAATACAAAAATCTCACAAAATTATTTTCCGTCACTATATTTATCCAAGGTAATAATTTGATATTCTTTCTTTTAATTTTTAAAAATAGTTTACATTAGATCATTGCTATGTGTTTTTTCTTTTTCTTTCTTTTTATTTTTTTTATAAGATGACTTTAGTTATATTCGACCATTTTGTTGTTGAGTAACCTATATAATATTTTTTTTTGGTATATAATGATTAAAGCTATCATTTGTTATATTTCTTCAAATACAATTCAAATAATCTGTCATCATTTTTTTTATAAATAAAATAGATTAAACTATTTTCTTATATAATTTTTATAATCCTACGAAATTCTTATCTTCATTTTTTTTTTAAATGTTGTAAAACTATGCAAGTATTATTCAAGTTATGGAGAATGATTACTTACAAATTATAATTAAATGTTGAGATTTATTCATAATTTGGTCCCACACTAATAATATAAATCATTGATTTAAAATAAGTAAATTTATGATAACTTATACAATTTATTTCTTTTAATGCTTTGTTTTTGTTTTTGTTTTTTTTTTTTTTGCATGACACTATAGTCTGATACAAATTATTTATGTTAGCAAGTGATTGTAATACTATTATCCTAACAATCTTTATAATTAACAATTTTTTATGTATATCAAATTTTTATTATGAAATTTTGTAGATTAATTATTGTTAACATCAACCAAGATGGCCTAATATCATGGCTTGCTGCTCTTAAAATATAATTCAATATTAGAATAATTTATATATCACACAAAATGTATATAGTTTATTTTTCCGTGCATCGCACGGGTTACCGCTAGTTTATATATATGTGTGTGTGTCACAACCCAAACCAACCCCTATAGATTTAGCATCATGAGTGACCAGTAATCCTAAGATTACCAAAGGTCTCTTAAACAGATACATCATATTAGGGGCTAGCGAAAGCAAAATACAAACATACATCATCCATTGAGCTGTGCAAACTTACATGAGACATAAAATATTTAAACATTTTTTATTTTTATATACGTATATTATCGAATCATTCATGCGTCATCATATATATACAGATGAGACAAAAGGAACTTAGCCCTATATACAAAATAAACAAAAACTTAGACTTTAATCACATAGCCTTGGCACTTGACATATCCGGAACCTCCATGAGAGGCGCATAGGTTAGCTGACAAAAACAGATTTCAAGCAAACACCTTAAAGTATGGTCATACGCTTGATCATCTACATACATATACATATACAGTGATCTAGAGCCTAGTGAATAACAACAGTGTAAAGGGGTTATGAATGATATCCTTACAGTATTTAAAACAGTCCATTATCATCAGCAAATCAGTTTCTTATTTCATAATCATATTGTAATCATAACAGTTATATATGGTACATCCAATGACACCGAACAGTCAGAATTGATAGCCATGCCATCAATACAGTAAACAGAAGTTCCAAGAATTGGAGCTGACAGCGATCTCTATAATAGTAAACAATAGTAGTAACAGATGCTATGTATACCACGAATACAATTTATAAAACAGGACAATCATTCAATCAGTCAGAAAGTATCATTTCAAAAACAGAACATTTTATAATTCAGAAAATACTTATAATTCAAACATATTTTTTCAAGGTTGTTACTCACAGATAGCTCCAGAAGCAGATCAGACAGAGTAGACAGACGATAACGCGTGACCTACACAAACACATAACATATACAAATTGAAACACAATATCACTTTCTTGATCAAACTTGACTTTCTTGTTTTTTTTGTTGTTTAAGTAATCTGAAGTTTTACTACGCTTATTCTTCCTTTATCCAAATGAATTGGATTCTCATTTCACATATTCTTTCATTACCAAATCCTTCTTTTCCAGATGGACTGATTTGTTACTTGGCTTTTTAATCAATTACTACTAAATCAATAGCTTATTCTTTAACCAACAAATTTATGTTGATTGCTACCTTATTAATCTTCATTCAACCATAAGTCATGTCTAGAATGCTTGTGAAGAGATGAGAATGAAAAGATGAACTAAATGCAATTTTCCAAAACATATTGAAAAAGCTTGACCGCTCGAGCCACCACTTGGTCGCTCGAGCAATCCATAAATTTTCTGGGTTTTCAAAACTGAAGATTTGGCTCCCAAACTTTATTTCACAACTTAGGTTAATTCTTAACTCACTTTAAATATGTAATTTCATTAATAAACATGAACCCATGGCTAATTTTAAATTATTATAAAACAAAACCTTCTTTGATTTGTCAAACTCAAATTATAATTTATTTTCTTAGTTTGTCCAAAGTTAGATTTAATTCATTTTCTTCATATCAAACCCAATTCTGAACTCATAAATTCTAAAACATAAATTAAGCTTTCAAAACCCAATTTCATGCTCAAAACTCATGCAAAACATGAAAACAAATATGAGACATAATCAATCTTCAACTCATTTAAATCAAAACTTCCTTTAATTTCAAAATCCAACTCTCAAATTTTATAAACTTATGATTTGCAAAACTTTTCTCTAAAGTCATTTATATACTCCATTGCATGGATCAAATCCTCAAACAATTCTTGTTGCATGTAATTTATGAAACCCAATTCAAGAATAATTCTCAAAATTGAACTCAAACTTAATAAATTTAAAGAATTATAACTCATATTCGTCAACCTAACATGATTTAACATGCAAAATCCAATTCCTATCAATTTATATTTTTCCTAATTACTTTTTTTTATATGAAATTGGATCCAATTATTTCTAGATTTTAGGTGTTAGATAATTAAACTACAAGAATCAAGCTTGAAATCCTTACCTTGAATTCTAGATTGATAAATTTCTTGATGATTTCACCTTTTCCTACCTTAAACCATAGCCTTTCTTAGGCTCCATTAAGCTTTCTTCCTTTCTACACTTCCTTCTTTGG